TATATAATAAACAGAACATTACATGGCCGCTTGGAGATACGAATTTCATCTTCTCGTGTTCAATTTAGATATCTTACTCGTTCGCTGCGCTCACTCGTGAGATATCAATTGAACACTCGAAGATAAAATTCGTATCTCCGCGCGCCCATGTAATATCCTCTATTTATTACATGACCGTGAATCTTAGAGCCTGGACACTAGCAAATCGAGCAATCTGATTGGATAGATCGCATCGCGGACTGGTCTAGATTCTCCGGTCCGATCGCATATTAATCTTACGGCGAAAACATTTTGTCCTTTTCAATGAATAGTGGTCATATAATAAAACTCTTATCAACCGAGCTTGGTCGGTCTGTACGGAATAATCTTGACCTCGGTCGGGTACAGACCTCGCTGCGCTCCGTCTGTACATTCCGACCTCGGTCAAGATTATCCCGTACAGACCTCCCGCTCGGTTAAGAAGATCTAAATCTGTGATGATGATAATATTTTAGGTATATCCGCAGATAATACGTTTATCATGTCAAGTTCATGCAAAGTCGCCGAATGGAGATTAAAAATTCGTTTGCTATTTCTTTAAAATCAGAATTAAATCTTTAATCTTAGTTTACAAAATATATAATAAAACAATTCTGGAATTCGGTTTTCGCATGATATCGTAAATTATCAAGACCTCTGCTGTTTTATCGCATTCCCTTCAGCCTATGGCTTCGGCAGTTAACATGGCCTTGGTCTTGAGAATTTACGATATCACGCTCAGCCTCATCCAATAATTGTTTATCTGCATCATCATCATCATTTTTCAGTATTATTATTAATATCATCGATAACAACAAAATCGCATGAGAACTATGAGAATAAATAGGGAAAAGTTGTAGTATGAAAGTGTAAAATAAGAAGTCGCTATATAAGGAACTCCTGGCAGAGTGCAACAAAAGCCAAGAACCAACAACTCTTTCGATCTATTGTTAGTGGGAGAACAGTTGCGTAATTCCATGAATTGTCCTGGAACTGAATTATCTGGAAAAGGCCCGGAGAGCTTTCTGGAATTTCAAGTAACTCACTAGACTCCCTCGCAATCGTTTTTAGTCTCGCTCCATTCCCCAACGGTTTACTTCTCTCCGGGAGAGAGACTGTAGAGACAGTAGGATTAATTTACCTGACTTCGTGGATACACTATGAGAATCAGTAAAACGTTTTGACAGTTATTAAATGTTCAGACGATGAATGTTGTTTTCCGCGCGTACAAGCAAATACACAAAAACACACGCAGCGACATTATACGAATTCTACAGCCCCCGCGAATAATTTTCAACACCACAGTATTTTAAGCTTGTGGTAAAAATAGCATCGAAAGGAAGATAACCTTTTGTGTATTAAGCGAAGAATTTCCACTAATAGCATGAAAAACACATTTCTTCTAGAATAAAGTAACATTCTTCGAATAGCAATGAAAGCATATCCGCTGAGCGGTGAAAGAAAATGACAACATTTTGATACATATGACGTATTTCCGGTATTAAGGAGCTCGCATCTCAAGTCGAATTATAGCTAAAAAAGTGAAGATAAATATTATTTTAATACTATTTTGCAGTACATTTTTGATATTTTCATTGGCGTATTTGATTTGATCTTAGAAAGAATGCTCTGGTCATCCATGACGGCGCGGGATTACAATGGGGAGCGAGGAGTGTTTTGTAGATACGTCACATCCATGTGTTCTGTCTACATGCTGTCTACATATTTTGTGACGTCATGGCGACAGGGTGCGACTTAGTTGTACGTATAACAGGCCAACACGATCCAGCAGTTCAGGACAACTATAAAGCGTGTCATGCTTGATGGTAACTAAACTACCGAGTCTCGATCGAATTATTTGACATATACAAAACTTGTTATCAGCTTGGGTATTAAGCCAAGACAAAGCAAAAGTTATTAATAGGAAGCAATATCGTCCAGAGGTACTAGAAAAGTCGGTTCTATTGGTGTTGATATCCTGACTTTATTTACTGAGTTGGTGAGTATGACTCTCTTATTACTACAATCTCTAYTGTCACTAAATGATATTGTTTTTTCCCCTTTTTGTAAAGCTGACATTATTCTTATGTTTTTTTTAGGAACCCTTGTACCATATCAAATCGCATTAGTCTGTATTTCTACAGTGTTCTAGAAGGGAATATAGTTGGTTCTTCCTTAAAGGAAACAATTTCTTGTCTAAATATGAAATACCATTTGGTCTTGCTGCTCTTGGTTCCCCTCTTTTGTGGATCAGGTAATTCTTTGTTTATATATCATGAAATAACTGTTATAAATGATGTCAGTCAGTAGGCACTGCCTCAAGTCACTAACCGATAATACCCAATACTAGATTATAGTGAGAATATATCTAGTAAAGTTCGATGCGGAGACTATTAGACAAGTAAAAATACAATCACTGTGGAGGAAAATCAAAGGGTATTGGCTTAAGTCTCAGGCTAATAATTCCCCAAGAGCAAGTCGTATATTTTTTCAAAGTAATAGTTCACCAGTTGCTAAACACATGTATGTGAAGTATCTTGGATTCACTCTAGGAGGTTACGAGTTACCACTAAATGTTCAGTTATCGAATTACTAATCTCCTGGGAGAGGAAGTGTAGTAAGCATTGTGTGGGTGCGTTATTGTTTTAGCAAGGACATTCTTAAGCCCGGAAGAGGCCGTTCTTCCTATCTAACCGCCTTCTTGACGTGAAAAGGTGATAATGAAGTAATTAGTTCCAACATCAAAATTTATTTTCGTACCATTTAATCTACCCGCAATATGTAAAGAAGCTTTGTGGCAAGGCAAGTGGCTGGAAGCTGACAAACAATTAAATGAAATATATTTTTAGTTACGTAATGATCGCTAATTTATCCATCTGCTATAATCTAACAAAATCATATCAGGATTTTTTAAAGCTTAAAAAACTTTTCTAAGATCCTTTTTTTYCTTTTTTTCTTGGTATGGTATTGGAAAATAGCCGTTATACTATACTTCGTCGTGTTCCCTTAAGACTGAGCACGTACAATAGAATTCTAAGTAAGACTGGAAATGTTACGAAATGAATCACTTCCACCGGAAAGTTGAACAACTCAATGAACCGCAACATTTGTCGGCGGCGATGAACAGGAAGACCATCGATAAACACATAGCTTGTAAAACATGAATACCAAACAGGAATTAGGATTTAAAATGTTCAAACGACAAAAAGAACAATAGAAAAAGCCATAACATATAAAATTAATCTATGAATACACTGTTCTGAATAATTTTTTCTTTGACCGGCGATGCTTTGTTCGAGCACATGGCAAACTGAAACTCAGGAAATATTTTCTTGTCGAAGCGCCAGCTTTTATGTTTGATAAAATTTTGGAAATCGTTAACAGGTACGTCGTTTTCTAATGTGAATTTTTGGCAACAACTAGAGTCATTCGTTTACATGAGCAACAAAGACTTGGCAAATAGATTGAATCCGAATATTAGGAGGCATTCCGAGGTAGGGACTATCTTAGGGGAGAAAACCGACATTATTTTGAAGATATGTCCCATAAAAGCGTCCCACAATGCACTGCAATGCCAACTTCACCCAGTTTTATCTTCAACCTCGGAGCGGCTTCTTTTTTGAAGAATACATACTTTTACACTTGATTTTCAGTGTTAATTGATATTCTAGATAAGAGAAATAACGTTCATAAGAGATTAATGCGTAGCGTATTTGACCCCCATTGATAAGTGTCCACTTAATCGCTCGACTGTGAGTCACACCCATGTACATCAAACCACTCGTAAGATAATAAGAATACTAATTAATCAAATATAGATTATATATACACGGCTATAGTAATCCCTACTTATAGAAAATATGCTAATAAATAAGTAAAAAAAAATTCTATGACTCACAAAAATCTAATGTAGAGCAATAACAGCGCGAACAAGCGTTTACACGGATGTTTTACTTATGTGAAAAAAGTAAGATTTTAAAGCAGAATTAATGTGATGAAACCAGTTGTCCTATCTTAATAAATGATACCTTTCTATAATTGACTGAAGACAAACACTTCTAATCCTTTAACCTCTCACTAGATTATCAATCCGTGGTCCATTTTCTCTCTTAGTGTGCACTTACTCTACTAAGGGGGCTTTTATTAATTAACGCATGAAAGTGGTTAGGGGGGTTATCACATATCGAGGGGGGTGACAACTATTGCAGGATATTGAAAAGGGGGTTATGCAATGTTTGTCTATGCCATGGAGGAATGTAGGGGCGGTGATTTTGCCGAACCTCCCCCCCCTAAAAATGGTCCACATAACTATACATTTGTAATATAATTACGACATAGACCCCTTCGATGAGCGTTACGCTCTTGGGGTTAATGTAACTACAAAATATGTTTAAATAAAAATGAAATCCCTCTAGCTATGGAAGAGATTTTGAATGATTGGGAAAAGTTTTTTAAGACTTGACCTTTCGGTCCCGTTAATCCAAAAAAAGCTAATTTAATAATTACCTTTTACACGATTTGTTATATTTTTTAAATAGATGCTGTTGTCGACGCACAATTCTGTAACCCACACCCAACACTTGTACCTATTGACCATCCTAATTACGGATATTTCCCGTACTTTGTAAAACTGCATCGCTGTGGCGGATCGTGTCATATAATTCAACCCAGCATCAAGAGTTGCGTAGCAACAGAAACTAAAAACGTAACAGTTGATCTCTTCGACATAACAAAAAAAAGCCAACGTACAATTCAACTGGTCAACCATACACAATGTGGATGTCAATGTGTTGCTAAACCTAGTGACTGTACATCGGATCAAGTTTGGAAAGCAGAAGAGTGTAGCTGTGTGTGTAAATACACTCATAGGCCACCACCAACCTCATGTCCTGAAGGTCATCGATGGGATAGCGGTCATTGTGAGTGTAGGTGTGATAAACCGCCAAAGGTGTGCCCTGTTGGAAAGGTAATTTTTGAAAAGCCTTCAAAAGTATTTGCGCAAACACGACGATTTTTTCCTCACAAATGTCGCTAGCAAAAAATTGTACGGTCGATTTGCACGAAGTAATTCGTATTGTCACCATGTTTCGCACGACAGTTGCAAGGAAAAATCGTACCTTGTAAATCGACCTTTCGAATTTTCTCAAAATGTCGGGTAGTACTTATAGTTATTTTTCTGTACTTATTTCAAACTTTTCTTTCAAGTTTCTGAGTTTCCAGAAACAATCGTCGCGGAATACGTATTTGACCAATGCATTCGATTTTCACATCCCCCCAGCCCGCACCCTTATTGAGGATTATATTTTTGTCATCATCGCCCTCTAGATTTCCACTTGAATTTTTATCCCCTGGAAAAGAAACACCTCTAGTAGTATTCCCTGGAGTACGCAAGTTAGGGGTACGAGCTCTTATTAGCTTAGCATGAGATCTCAATATGTTCAAAACGACCAACACGAAAACATGCCAAGGTTATATGTTGATTTATGCATGCATTGCCTTGACTACAGAGAAAAACTTAATCTCATAAAAAAGTCAATTGAATCCAAATACGTTATATCGATATATGGAGTACATTTCTCTGGGCAAAGATTAGACAGATTCCATTTAAACTCAAACTAGATTATATGTTGACCTGTTTGGCTAGATGAGATTAATGTAACGGTTGGGTCAACGCAATTAAATAATTTTTATGCACATTCATCTGAGTTGGGATAAATATATTTTTTACTTTTGATTCAAGGCAAGTAATTCTTGTTCGTGATCTCTAATAACTATTACCTCTTTTGACAGCATTGGAGTCCACGGGCCTGTGGGTGTGTCTGTAGTAGTGACATCGAAAGGTCATGCCGATCAAAAGGGATGATTACCGACGATGAGTGTGAATGTAAAGTCATAGACCTAGAAGCAAAAAAAGGAGACGAGCCAAAAGGTAAATACGAATTAATTCTGCATAAAGAAAGTAAAAATCGTTTTGTATCTGTACTGTCTTATACTGTTAAATCTTTTCCCTCCTAACTCAGTTGAGTCTTTTTTTCCCTGTTTTGGAAGCGTGGAAAGTGGGGGTGAGTTTGAAGCGACACGCCGAGTACTCGCCAATCTCCACAGGAATCCTGGGGGAAAAAAACTCGTCTTTAATGATTCTGGAGGGAAAAGTGGGACTGCTTGCAATCTAACTGTGTCTTAAAAGATCATCCTTGTTCCTCTAATATTTAGTACCAAATCAGATGACTTAAAATGATTAAAAATCCTTCTGTATGTAAAAAGCTTGAACAAGTATTGGCCTAGCCTGCGTGCAGCCGAACTGACTAACTATTAAGTCCGACGGACTATACGAGAGAAAAGTCCGGCTGCACGCAGACTAGTACTGGCCGTGCTTTGTTATTTTCCAAGTTTAGCACTTTCAAGATGGCGCCCAGGCGTAGACGGTGAAGTGTTCTACTTATCCTCGTACTTAATTTCATTTTCGTCTTTTTTCTACAGATGAGTTTAAGATTAACAAACTGATGCTTGTTTTGATGATCGGGGAATTTGCTTTGATGTTTTTCGTATTTGATGCTATTCTATACCATAAGAAGGCTGGCTTGATGCACAGTATCGTAAAAAGATGTAAAGGTAAGATGTCTGATACACTGTTCTTCTATTATGACTAGTATAAATCCCCCACCAGTCTTCCCCCTTTCCCAGACCAAGGGATAGACATCCTCTCAAGAACCTCTCCCTGCCTTAAATTGATCCTCAGATACACAAGAGCGGATCTGCGGGAGATGAATAAAGCATTTGGAATGCCTAAGATTAGAACGAGTGTATAACCTAGAGATATTGAACACCACTTGCGAGCCCCACTTTCGTGGATCTGCCCTCTCGAAGTTAAACCAAAGTGAAGCTAGCGTATAGGATTGGCAGCGTCGGATTCAGATTGATTGAGATTCAAAATCATTTCCGGGGGAGGTCAAACAGGACATGCTATGAAAATCCTCTCTTTTCCTTAAGTAGACATGCAGCTCCTTATTCACTTAGTGCGCCTTTGAGTAAATCTTTGTTTAAGATTATCATTCAATGGACTGTTGTCAGACGGCGCTATGTTTATTTTAATGAGAATCTGAATCGCTTCAATGCGAGGCCAAGCGGGGAAATCTATTATTCTAGTCAACATGGCTGCCGCTTGATAAAGGTCCAACCCATTTAGAAAAGCGCGGGAACATTTTAAAACAGTTTTCTTGTAAATTGCAGGTCAAACAAAAGATGAAGCAGAAGAACAAAAAAGCAATATTAGAAATAGCTACGAAGTATCTTCTGTATCAACGAAGGAAGACTTCGTAGAAAACGTATAAAGGGTAGCAATACTATCTCCGATGTTAGTTTCCACTCAAATACAGCAAGAAAGAATATAAAGACGTCTATAGGTCTTGGTAAAGTCGCTTAAAAAAAGGAACCGTTTACCGCCAAGAAATAAAACAAGACAAATTTCAACAGTAAGACAGACGGGCGCCCGAGTCTGCGGGCGACCATGACGAGGCTAAGATTTTAATAACTCGTGACGATAAAGAAAGCGTTATTTATTTTGACCAGATGAAAGAAAATAGATAGACATTATATATTGAGGTCATTTTTAATCAAAAATAGATTGTAAATATTCAGTTAAATCAAGATATGATGTACATTTTTTTATTCAATCGTACTTCGTTTTGCATTGAAAACAAAGATAATAAAATTTGCTTCAGTACGTTCAGTCACGGTCGTAGCTTATTTAGTTTACTGGATGGGATTTGAAATGGGAATATAAATGACGCGCGAAGAGAGAGTCTAAGAAAATACGGGAAGGATAGAAAACTATCCATCTACTTTGGGTCTTTATTATATTCTATTTTAAGAATCTATAATCTATAATATAATATGAATATATAATAATATATAATAGATCTAATAATCTATAATAATTCTAGTACGATACCGAGGCTCTCCGGAATAAGATTTTCAAAATTGCATTAAACCTCAAAAGGATCAGGGCATGGCTAACTCACAGATCAAACCTGAAACAACCTCTTGGCTGATCTAAGTCAGGGAACGGCTGACTCGCAGATCGAACCCTGAAACAACCTCCGGGCTGACCAAAGTCAGGGCACGGCTAACTCACAGATCAAACCTTTGGGCTGATCAAAGTCAGAGTTTCACTTTACAAGACAATGAGATTCCAGACGCCAACAGCTTTTTTTATTGACATAGTTAGCCATTAATTTATCGTTTCTTGTGGCTAGCGTTAACGACCAGAAAGATGTTCAACTCGACCAGTTGCGTTCAGTCGTAGGTTGCGGTCAGTGACTGAAATCATCACGTAATTATAACCAACGACCGCAACATAAATGAGTTTGTTCCGGTCTGTACAACCAAGAGACGTCCATTGAAATGGACTAAAGGCCGGTTTAGACGGTACGATTTTTGCCTACAACTATCCTATATAACACGCTCTCGTCTGTCGTAGGCGAGTTGTAGGCTTGATTTACACGCTACGACTCGAGTTGTAGGATGGCGCGAGCGTGTTGTATACAACAAAATACGAAATACGGTTTACCACAGGGAGCCTAAGCTGGATCTAAGAGGCTGGGTGATATTTGTATAATTCTGGTAGATGTATTTATTTTTTTTGGCAACGATGTCTTGTTTTTTTTTTCGCTTTCGTCGTGGTAGTCGAGTGTCAGCGCTATTGCAGCGTTTTCTAACGAAAATACCCCTGAAAGGGAAAGAAGGTCACCAGTTTGTGGAAACTCTTGGCTTCAAACAGCAAAGATGAAACATGGGCAACCATTCATGTCCACTCAACTCATGCATACACAAGGGTGTATCCAAGGGGGGGGGGATAATTTAATTGGGTGACTAGTTCCCTCTCCTTGGAGTTGAAAGGTTATAAATAATAAGAATAAAGGATAAGGCAAGACCTAAAAAGGACGCTATGTGATGCATTCTTAGGTAACAGTCAGCCCCCTTGAAATCGTTGTATCCACTGCTGTTGCTTTTTAACGGGGAGCACCATTCGTCGTCAATATTTAGAGATGGATTGCTTATTTCCTTTGCAGTTTTCTGCCTTTTGCGACAAATCGACGAAAGTTTTTAATTTGGTCTAACGTAGACGACTCGTAGTGGCTTTTTTAGTTATTCGATCAAGGCTACAAAGACTTGATGACGTTTGTATCAAATAAGGGTGAGATCCAGGATGAAGGTTGTGGAGGTTGCAACCTTTCTATGAGAATTTCGATTACCTTTTAACCGAATGTACTGTTTTTTGTTGTTTTCTTTGTTTTTGTTCGGTGTCCTTTACAGGTGAATTAGCTTCGAATGGAAAACCCAGTAAAAAAAATCTTGGAACCGCCACTGTAAATTATAGTAATATCGCACAATACTGTTAATTGTGATAACTACATATGGCCATGTTCAAAATAAAATGAATAAGGAAAGAATAGAAGCACACCGGAAGCAATGGGGAAAAAGGGGGAGGGGGAGTAAAAGAAAAATAGAAAAAAGAAATAAAGAAATAAAATATTTGAAAAGCTTCAGCGAATTTTAATTTAGAGGCCCTTATCCAGGAAGTATAGTCTGAGTATAGGAAGTATAGTAATTCATGACAGAAGTTTGGATCGATTGCGTCAGTTTGTTTCACTTATACATTGATCATGTGAGATGACATAAACACACACATCAGACGAAATTCAAATATTACCTAGGCCTACGTAGCCAGATGGTAAAGTATCATGGTTAACCAATATTCACTGATTCAGTAGAACTAAATTATTCTGGGCAAGAAAACTGAAATCATGACAGAAATTTAGTAATCTTACGTCAACTTGTTTAGCTGAACAGGAAGACGCTTGAAGCGCAAACAAAAGCAACTCATTTAAACCTTCCTCGAAACATTCTGCAGATCTACTGATAAGCACCGGGGACCAAAGATTATATTAATAGAAGGTTGAATAGCAAAGGAAGCGCTCAAAGGTGTCGCCAAGATAACAAAAATATTTGGTAAGTATTTGGTGGTGTGTGATACATACGACTGTTTTTTTGTTTTTTGTTTTTCGTTTATTTACTCTATTTACTCTATTAAATTTTACTTCATTTTTTTGGTTATTTTTTGTTTATTTTTTCTTTCCGTTTATATTCTCCTATAAAAGCAGTTGGAAATTGCTCTTTTACAGCCGGATCCTACTTTTCTTTTTTATTTCGGGCGCACGCCCAATCTACATAATGATTTTTTATTTTTTTTGGAGCAGATCATCCAATGCAAATCACTCTCAGATCGTAATTAATTTATTCCATAATTTCATCAATTTCTCAGTCTTAATCATTAGATAAACTGATACTATTAATTGAGTAAAGACCGAGGACTGAAATTACAAATGTCAAGGAATATCCACCCGACATAAGGTAGCATAAATGTATAAATGTATCCGAAACTATGCAGGATTTTATAAGTAACTTAATTAAAACAAGTTGTTACTAAACTCTGTAATTTTCGAGCATTTTTAATTCCTCTCCAAGCTAAACATTTGCACTTGTGTTCATTGTGTACATTATAAAAGAACTGTTGCCAATAATTACTATTGCTGCACGAGTAAGCCTCCATTCTTTTTCTAGAAATAGAGTGAAGTCATTAAACCCGTGAAATAGATATTAGACTAATACACATTAGAGTGAAGTCATTAAACCCGAGAAATAGATATTAGACTAATACACTTTAGTAGACCCTAATTCCATTGTCTTCTTTTGTGTCTATTTGACTCAGTATTACACGTTAACTAGTATTTTTTATTTCACGGGTTATATGCCTTCACTCTACTAACGATTGCTAATTATCGAGGCAAGGTTCGTGTTTCATGATCAGATCCCTCACAGCTCAAAACTAAAACAGTTTTTTTTATTACGAGGAATGTTATCCGAAACTAGATATAAAATCTGCCAGGACATATCTGGAATTTTTCATATTGTCCTCTTAATGAAATGAAAATGAAATTACAAAATATTCAAAGCTGTTTACTTTTAATAAGACAGTTATTTCTAAGGCTGTCTTGTCGTCAAATGATTGATCTATGAATGAGTGTACATAGTGGAATGCGACGTACAGAAAGGACAGTTGACCTACGATATTTGATGAAAATATGTTATCTTAGGCTTAATGTTTATTTTTCAACCCCTGACAACTCCCTCATGAACAAAGTTATTTCGCCCAACACATTCCAAACTATATAAACATTAGTAAAAACTGTTAACACCTATACTAAATTAGGTTGGGAAACAAACAAAAACAGTATACGTACAATACAGTATACGTACAACACAGTGTTCCGGTCATTCCACATCTATTCTTCATGCACCACAACCATTCTAAACATGGTTCAAAAGGCGCCCGACATAAAGCATTAATCATTTTTGCTCATTGTTAATGAATGAAATTCTTGAAGTTATATTAAAGGAAGTCATTTTCTTTGTTCCTTTTTTGTGAACAAATTAAAATAACCACATACACCGCCTACGTAGTCGCCTAATTATCGTCAAGTTTTCAATTCCAATTGATCGAATGTTGATCTCACAAACAATAGTTTAATTCTATAGGCGTTTATCATTGGCAATCAAGCAGATAAAGACTATCACAGGTTAAGAGCTTGATATCGTTTTTATTCACGAGTTTTTTCTATCATATCGCAAACGAGCCGAGTCCTTGAGCGCTACGTAAGCGATGTTATGGAAAACGAGTAAAAAAGAAAACAGGCTGGCTCTTATAAACAGGTAATAATTTGATTAGTGCCAATATTATAACGATAGTTACAGTTTTAAGTTTACTGTGAAGTGATATCGTATCACTTCACTGATATGGTTCATTATTTACGAGTTTAAACACGGATATCGACTTTAAATGTGTAATAAATTACTTATTCCTAAATCTGGGTAACAAGTATTATATAAAGTCGTTACGCGCATCATAATTCTTCATAAAGCTCTAAATCTGGGTAACAAGTTGCAATAAAATAGAACATCATATTATTATTGTAAGAAGTCGTTACGCGCAAGTCTCATGATGTAACGCACAATTTTCTTTGGAACACTCTTGCATCACTTATTTTACTTTCGATATTAAGCGTGTCTCGTTTGATTGAAAACGTGAAGCCAGGCATCTACGCCCTGTAATTAATGCGTGTTAATAAATATCGGAAAACCAGTAATTAGAAAACATGAAACGTCTCTCCCACTCAACACAAACAATGTCTATTTATCCCGAAAACAATGGCTTAATAAGTAAAGGAAATGAAAAATTATTCACAAATTAAACCATTCAAAGGAATTATCGCAATTAAGGCGGATAATAGAGTCGGTAATGGGATAGGTCGTTTGGGTCTTCGAGACTCTTCGTCACTCCCCGGCCTAGCATCGGGTGTGATCGGAATCCTTCGGCTTTCCGAAGTTTTGCAAGAGAGAAGTGACGTCTCTTTTGTAGTCAGTAGTGTATTGATGGGACCGGAAATGTAGGCAGGAGGTCAATAATAGGGAATTTCGAGCAAAGTTGTTTTGAACCATCTAGAAAGCTGCATATATAAAAAAAGAAGCGTGGCTACCAAAATCCAATTGACATTGCAAAAAATAGCCTCTAAAGCAATAAAATAGGCGTTTTTAGCCCGAGGTGGTAGGCATA